GCTAGCAACTCTCCCGATTCCTACCACATTACATAAGCCGGTCCTCGGCCGTCATGGCATGTCGTTGGCCGACGTAAAGCCTTGCTGAATGGAAAGAAACTGTAATTTACTGCCACATGTACCGGCTTAGCAGTACATGAGAGTCAAATTTCCGGCTAGAGGTTGCTGGCTCAGGGTGTAGCGACCATGACCAGCATCAGCAACAACATACCCTACACCATCACATGCTGAAAGTCAAAATGCTGGCCCCGCCTCGCACTATCCAAGAAAGGCAGGATTCTCAAAGTGCTGATCCAACTTACCACTTGTCCAGTTCTTGTTGCCGGCGTTTTCCCGTTAAGGTACAACCCCTGGCCCGAGATCACAAGTCCAGAAGACCCCAACCCCAAGCCTAAAGCCGCTAACCCCCTACACCCGATTTCGGCACTGACTCTTGGACACTTGGAACTAGTAATAATGTCTGTGTCGTTGCTTCTTCCTTTGAGCCGTCTCCGCAGCCTGGACACCGGTGTTGCTTGCTGCTATCATTCGATGGTTCAGGGTCTCGGGTTTAGGGTCGTTTAGGCCCCAGGGCTTAAAGCGCGTTTAAAGCTGAATCGCCCGAACCGCTAGGAACCGCAAACCATCTAACAACTTAAGTGAAGCAGCTCGATATTGATGTTCGCATGGATCGCCGTCTTGCCACTCAGCACATTCTTCAACGCCTGCTGCAGAACCTGCAACATCTTGATCAAACTGAACAGCCATGGCCAGCGCACGCATGATTCTTACGTAAGGTCGAGCCAGTGGTTTCCACCATACGGGCAAGTGCCTGCGTTCTGGGCACATGAGAAGAAAGTTTGGGGGTTCAGGCTCTAAGAGACTCTGCGTCACCACCGCTGGTGTTTGGATCGGTTAAATGCAACAGTCAGACCCCTTCAGTCTTCTAGGCACTCGCAATCACTGAGCTACAACAGACTCCATGCTGAAAGCGTAACAATGAAATCGAAACCGTAATGACGACTCTAAAGTCACCCCAACCGTCATCACAATAATCACACCCCACTAACGCGACAGCCCTTTCCCCGTGAACTGAGGGAGTCTGTGCCTTGAATTGCTCCATGTGCGGATCGGGATGGCCAACGCCCGCCCATTGGTGTGAAACAAACCTTCGTCCGGAGCTCAAGAGAACAACTAAAGGGGTGTTTCGTCGATCCGTCTATACATCCGCCCTCATGTCTGCATAAATGTGTACACACAGCATGAACAAACACATCAAAGGGAAATAGGACGAAACAAAAACATCTGTATATAGAATATGAAAAAATATGCACACATACAAGCGTCGCAGCCCCGCGTTTGCATGGATCTAATTGTCCTTTTCGCTTCATTCTCGTATCTCACCTCCTCTGGCTCATTTATTTGAGCGGCCCTTCCGTTATATTCGTATATACCAATTCTCCATGTCGCGCTTTCTGGTCACGCAGCTATACACCGCACCTTCACATCGACAGCTTTCCCTGCAAACATCACCAAGAAACAGCAACAACAACACACAAGAATCATGCCTTCACTACTGAACATTGAAACCAAACCCGGCTCAACTCTACATAGAGTCTCCACTCCAGCTCTTTTTTGTTTACCCTGTCTTATAGTTGGGGTCCGACAAGGAACACCGAAAAGGAACCAGAATGGAGACGACAGAGAGCCCGTTGTGTCGAACAAGCCCAAGGCGCATGGCGTTCCACTTCATATCGTCAAACTCCACCAACATGCCTTCAGCCAGCAGCTCCTCTCCGACTCCGACAGCTAAGGACATGCCTACTTGGAGGTTCATGGGTAGTTATAAGTGTGGTTATAAGTCCCCTACTATGGGTTATAAGTATAATTACCCTACTTATAACCCTACTTATAACTACCCATGAACCTCCAAGTAGGGTTCAGGGCTTTTTACAGGGTTCAGGGTGTGGCTGGTTTTCGATGAGCCATCTTTTGGTTAGGATTTCGCTGCTTCAGCCAGCAAGGTACTGCAGTTTAGGATCGAAACTTGAAGAATTACCGAAATCGTTCTTCCTTAAAACTCCCGGATATGACGATCGTAGACCATACCCCAAAACCCTCTGCTAACCAAGGCCCAGATGTTAGCCTTTTGGGTTTGGGCTGAGGGTTTCTTCAGGGAATCAGGGTTTAGGGTTTAGGGCGCATCACATTCTACAACTAGGCATGTGAATGGATGCTGTAACCAACGGAACACAGGCAGAACTCTCAGGTTCGATCTGGTAATATAGGGGCCTTAATAACTAAAATAGGGTTCGGGTGCATAACTCCAGCTACTCTACCCCACTGTCAGTTTATCGGTTTAGGGTATCGGGCTTAGAGACTTGTTGCATCGTAACCTCTCTCGTCCTCGAACGGCCGGATGCTCGTCATCTCGATCAGGCTCTCCGCTGAAACGACATACCTTGTGAAGAACGACTGGAACATGGGTAACCTTTGAACGTACATTGCGGTTATATAGGGGCCAAAATACTCCAAAAAAGTTCTGGGTAACCTTTGAACGTGTATTGGGATTATATAGGGGCTATACCGGGCTCGCATCTTCAGTCACGAGCTGCTACAAGGTCCATTGCCCTGCAGCTAAAAAATCGGCAAAAAGCGTGCTTACATCACATGCATCACGGATGCGTTATGGTCATTCTCGTTTGTTGTAGTCGGGCTTTGCATGTGCCACTTCTCTGGCCATTCGGGTTGTGCATTCTCTTGCTTTCCCAGACCATGTCCGCCTGCCTGAGCCACCCCCCGTTGCGCAGGAAACGCAGAGAAAAAGTTTGAGACAAAACCAAAATAATCACATGCGACGATGCGAGGATTGTTTGCAATTTTTGTCTTCCCAGACCCTTTTTCCATCTGCCAGAGCCGCCCCCAGCCGCTCAGGAAACGCCAAGCGGAAGAAAAGCCAACGCAAAACCTTATAATGCATAAAGAAAGCAAACAATGCAAACGTACGACACAAAAAAGAAAAGTCCGAATGCGACAAAACGAAACGAGTGCAAACTGAACTGCTCGAAGCACCCATAACTACCCAGTAACTACCCTAAACCCTGTAAGCCCCGAAGCCCCGAACAACCCCAAAACCCATATAGCCCGACACCCTTTTTGGGGAGAGACTCTTAGATTAGCTTGCCCTCGCGAAGCCCTAAAACCTAAATTTGCTACTGGACTCAAGTCTAGCCAGTCTACGACCCGCAACAAAGCCCTGAACCCTAAACCCTAAAAGCCCTAAAACCCTAAACCCAACAAAAAATCTTCAACTGATTCCACCGAGCAGAGGCGCATCTCGTAGAGCTGAGCCGCAGACAGAGTCCTCGAGAACCTCTGTCAAACCAACCGTGTTTACGATAGCAGTCAACCTTTTAAACTCATGCCTGCAACAACGGGGTTAAGTCAGTAAGTGATGTTAAAGCGCATGATCGTCGGTAGAGTTGCTGCTGCTGCCAGGAAAGGCTGGAGTAGCAGCAGCAGCATGTACTAGTAACTAGCAGCAACAGCAGTCGCGCGACACAGATGCTTTCAAGAGTAAGGCTGCTGGTAAGCAGCAGAAGTGTCGCAATCTTCATGTTGACTGGCTGCAAAACTGGGCAGCCGATGACAAAATGCCCTGCGAGGGTTTGGAGTTCAGGTTAGGTGGCTTTATAAGAGGGTTCAATCAAGCCCTCTTTTCTGGCATTCCCCAAGACCTTGAACCTTGTAAGCCCTACACCTATACCTATAAAGCCCCCAAAGCGTAAGACGGCCCAGTTCCTGAGCTTCCCGCGAGCTTTTCACCATGGGGAGCTCATCCAGGTTATCATCCGAGGCCACCATGATTCGCGCACCTTAAAAGACCCCAGAGCCTAAATCCTGGCCTGAAAGAAGGGCTGAGCTGAGTACCTTTTGAGGTGCAGCGTCAAATTCAAGGTTAAATAATGGCCTTCTGATGGTAAGTTGCAAAAATCAGCTCCGAAATCGTATCTTGCATTCGGAATTCTAGTGAGCAGCAACCGCCACCTGGACTGTTGGCCTACCGCCGACGTTCTTGCTCTGGGGCGCAAGTCAAGACTTTAGGTTGGGGACCTTGACCTCGCAGCTCTAAGTAGATCACCAGCCAAACTCAGGCACCCCAAAACCCTGGCAGGGCTTGGGTGGGGCCTGGGTCAGTCTTATGCAGTCGGAGATTCGGGCTTCTTGGGGTCGGTGGGTCCCAGGCGGAAGGTGCAGCGGGGCATGTCAAGCCAGAAAGCTGGGCTTCGTAGACATTCTTGCATCATACCTATCGAAACTCCGCGATGGCAGACAGGCTCTGTCATCACAAGGAGCACCACAAGACAACTCTGCGATTTACATGCCCCGAAACCACAAACTCACGGTAAGCCCCTGGCGGTCGGGTGAAATGTCGTGTAGATTTTGAAGTTTCATCAAACCTTATGTGCAAATATCTGTCCATAGGTCCATCCATCCATTCATCCCTCCCTCCCTCCAGCCAGCCAGCCGGCCATCTATACACGTGTAGGTATACCTGCGAGAAGGCGTATGCGCACAACTTTGCTAGTGGCTGCGGTTGCCTGATGATACTTACTGGATGGTCTTTCCAAACAACTCACGCTTTACCCCAGTCCAGATGCCCAATGGTGTGTAGCTGCCCGCAGTGCGACTCATGTATTAGTACAGCAACGTCATCAACCGCATTCAGACTGCTTCTGCTGCTGGGCTCTAGACAGCAAAATGAGAAGCACCATATTGTAATGGATTGCCGGTCACCTCAACACAAGAAAAAAAGCACAACTGCACCCTCGCATCAGATACTTGCAGCCCGGATGGTCTTTGATGCTACCAGTATGAACCGGCTTCATCAATGCTAATTAGCATAAAGGATTGCACAAATTATGCAATATGCATCTGAGCTTCTACTGGAGCCCGAAGATTAGGCCCAGGCGCGGTGTTGCCGAGTCGTAGGGCAGCAGGGCAGCTCTCCAGCTTGAAACTCAATCGGCAAATTTCTTGTCTCCCTCAACACCACCCAGAGCCTCGAAACCCCTGTGTTCAAGGGCTGGGTATGGGAACCTTTCAAGGAATCCACAGAGGAGCCTTTAAAGAAACACTCAGGACGTAAGACGCAAGCTGGGAGCTCAAACTTTGCTACTGGAAGGTCAGGAAGGACTGGGTACTTTCAGCCAAGCCGGGCCAACGCAACCCCTACCATTCCCCAAAGATCGAAAGGCTACTATACATGGGTAGTTGTCCAAAATTATGGTTCCTGTTTGGATACCCTGAATATTAGGTGCCGTACTGTATTAAGGACCCAAAAATGCACCATGATTTTGACAACCACCCACATTCTAGGCCCCTGACAGTCTCCAAGCTAAACTCTCAAGCCCAGTTACAGCAGGCTAGTTAGGTTCAATCCGAGATATGCGCTCTCGAGGGGACATGCAACACCCTGAAGCACAATGGGCCTTACTCCTTGTTCGGGGAGGGGGCGAAACCTGAACCTTAAACTATACTGATAGAACCCTAGCAAAAATGATAATTTTAGCTGTTTCTTAGGGGTTATCATAACCAAAACTTATTTCTAAGTACCCCTAAGTAAACACTGAATCACTTCCTTAAGCCTTCAATCGCAACTCTCACACCCCGGAGCCGAATCAGCTGCCTGCCCGAAGCCTGCAAAACCCTGCAACGTGGGGTAAAAGCCCCTGCAGAGCCCATGTTCAGCCTAAAATCCGACCAAAGCAGCCGAACACTGGGCAAAGGGCTGAAGACTTTAGGACTTTGGGGTTTGCGGCTTTACGGTTTGAGGGCTTAGGGCTTTTTCGTTTGGGCCTTTCGACGTTTACAACTCGCACACTGCAGGCAACGCTTCTCAACAAGTCTGAATGTTTCTAACCCATCAACCGGTGTTTAACATTTAGGGTTTGGAAAGTTTTGAGGGGAGTGAATTTGGAGTCCCGAATGAACTGATTCTCCACAGTAGTTGCTGAGCTCCAAGCACGGCGAAGATCCAAATTCGTTGGTTACAGAAGGGTTGAGGTGCACGCAGGGTTTAGGGGTTTAGGGTTCAGGGAAGTCGAGCTTTATCCGCAACCTGGTGGAATCGACGTCTTAACAGCGTCGTACTTAAACCACCGCATAGAACTTTTCAAGGGTCTAGCTAGATGGCTGTGGTAAGGAAAGGTCTCCTGGATCCTAAGAAACCGAAACATTTTGGGGGATCCGTCATTTCATTTCCTTACATAAGTCCTTTTAACATAAGGGCTCCTTAATCTTGTTTCCGCATACAAGGCCTTATAAAGGCAGGTTGTTTGGGGCTAAGGTTGGGTCCAGCAGGAGCTCACTGTCGCGCTTTCTTCCTGCAAGCCATGACGGTGCAAAGCAGCAGAGGCGGCTGCCTCACGGGAAACTGGTCAGGGTTTATAGGCTTTCAGGTTCAGGGTTTCGAGTTCAGGTTTACGGCCAAGGGAAGTCAACGATGATGCGTGCTTTGTCTCTACTTTGGGGGGCCAAACTTTTAGTCCACTAAGCGCGAGCCTTCTAAATGGGTACTTGGACCCTGTGTGTCGGCGACGTCAATGCTGAGGCCTATGCAAAAATCCTGGCAAAAAAAACAAAACACAACCCTAAAGAATCCAATCGACCCGCTGCAATGCCCTGTTGCAAACAAGCCTCTCGGATGACATCCTGGTTTGGGCGATAGTCAATGCAAAGTGCCCCTAAACCCTGAACGCCTCTCTCTCCCTCCCAGGCATTCGAAACGTCAAGCCCGGTTGCAGAACAACTAAAAGCCTAAACCCTTGAAGGAATACTCCCCTTCAGCAGTCGGATTGAAACTCCCTCCGCGAGGAGCCCCTGCAGTCTCTGTACTATAGGGGAGTTTCCGAAAATTAGGGGTACATTATTTTGGTGTCCTTAGAAGAAGGATCCTACTACTTAGGGTACTATATTGGGGCCCCCTATTTTCGGCAACTTCCATAGGGTTACATGCAGGTCTTACGAAAATCAGCAGGATCTGCAGTCGTAGGGCGAGGTCGCGCATACTGAATATGAACAAGCCCTCTAGGATGGGTTTCGTGCTGCATAAACAGCCGAAGGTTTAGGGTTCAGGGTTTAAGGTTTACCTGGACCCTAAGGAACCTACCTTTTGAGGTCTCCCTAAAATGATTTCTTTAATAAGTCCTTAAAAAGGTAGGTCACGTGGGGCTAAGGTAGGGTTCATCAAAAGCAATCGCCTGAAGAGAACTTTTACAGCGCACCGTCTTCTGACCTGCCTGGCAGTTCCCCCGGTAGTGCACCCTTCTCGCGAGCAGCGACCGCGGCATTGATGGTGATCCTGAAGGTTTATAATGGCGTATCATGGGGTCTAGGACAGACCACATGGGAGTTTCCGAAAATTAGGGATACCTTATTTGGGGCTCCTTATAACCAGGATCCTGCTATATATAGGCTACTATTTTAGAGTCCCCTGTTTTCAGAAACTCCCACCACATAAACTACATGCTTTTCGACTCTTGGTCTCCCTCTGTCGCTCTCTGTCGGGACGGGTTAGGTGCCCAGGCCACTACCCAGACGGAGGACCTAAAAAGTAGATCCCTTAATGGGGGTTCCCATAAAAGTACCCTTAGTAGTATAGGACCCCAACTTAGGGGATCTACTTTCTCACCATACTTTCTGGTGCAGTGGGTGATTACCCTCGAACTATCTGACTGTTGTAGGAGTGAGTTTTACAGGAAGTCTTCCCAAGGTAAACGATGCATTCGGACACATGCTCGAGTTATGGCAGTTTCTCCATCACCTCTCTCTCGCTTTCTATGTACACAAAGGTACATAAACATATCAGTACATGATATGTGTATGTACAACAAGCGTGTATGAGGGTCTCTGTGCGCATGCGCCTGTGTACCAGACTGTTTTCGTGATTGTCCTGCCCGGGCTTGACAGCATGGGTCGCGGGCCCAGCCTCCCGGATCACAAAGCTGCTGCCCTCTCCAGTGGAGAAGCTTTCTTCTCAATTAGCCGGGCGCAAAAAAGTCAATCTTACTGAGATAGACTAAGTGTATAAGTGAAGGTCAAAAAGTGTAAAGCTTTCCCATTGGCCAAGTCAGAAAATACATTTTTTCATTAACCCCTTCTTGCAGCTCGGGGCTCCTACTGATGCCCGCCAAAAACCAGCAAAACCCTAGCTGGGAAGCGTGTGTAGTAAAGGACAACATCGGACAGTGCTCCGTGACTTGCATGTATGTATACATATATACAGCGCACACACACATACATAAAAGCTTGTACGTATATCTATATATATATATATGTGTGTGAGTGTGAGTGTGTGTGTGTGTGTGAGTATGTGTACATGTTACTGACGGCGGAGGGGTAAGCAGAGTTCATGTAGTCGCTTGCTCAAGTACTCCTTTATTACAGAAACAGACACCAGACCAGTCCTGTTCACGGGCAAACCAGCAGCGAACATCGCCGCCTGAAAGCAGGGAGGCTCGTAAACAGAAACATCTAGATGGGAGTTTCCGGGAATATGGGACCCTAATATAATATCCTAAATGGTAGGATCCTTATTGTAAAGATGCCACACAGGATTTGGGTGGGCCGTGAGGATTAAACTGAGCCCTGCTCAGATGCAGCCCAAGAAGCCTCAGTTCAAACCAGGAACAAATCATGGATTCAGTTTTGTAATCCTAAAGAGTCCAAGGTTCATTCAGTTCATTCCTTAAATTTCTTAAATGGAGACGGGACGCATCAACAGAACCAGCGGACTGCGACGGCCTCCGCAAAACCCCCGAGCCCCAACAGCGACTGACAAACCACCGATCAAGTAAGTTCAGACTTTTTGACGCTTGGGTACACTTCTCAAGGTTACAGGCTTGAGGTTCACAAAAACCCACGATATCGCCAGAAAAAACATAGACATAAACAACACAGCCGGCATTTTCGATAAACCCCCTCCTTAGGTACACCAATACATAAAGCCAAACAGGGACGTCCATGCAAATCTTATGTCTGGGCGGTTGTTTGATAACACATATGCTCTCGCCTTTGCGAAGCCCTCATAGAACCCTGCAAACCTCTTATACAACGCTCTAAGGCTCTATGGCCCTTGGAAAACACTGTCAAAACCCTGGGAAAAGATGACGTCGCAGCCTAGTAAGTACGAAGCGCTTCTTGGCACCCACGACAGACCACGGTATCCCTCCAGGCGCTTGCAGAATAAGCCCATTTTCTGGCTTCTCGTGTGACTGCATGGGAGTACGACTGGAAGTTATCAGCACTTACTCCGATCTCCTTACCTTATGTGGAAACCCATAAATCAGGATCCTACTGTTCAGCGGATGTAGCCCGAATTCTAGGGCCAAAACAAAAGGCCTTCCCTTTCCGAACTCGAAAACCCTAAACCCCTAAAACCTAAGCCCTAAACCCTAAACCCTAAGCCCTGATCCCCAACTAAGCCTTGATTCCAAAACCCTCATCAGGTAGAAATCTGATGAAGAAAACCTGGACCTATAACCCCGAAATAGTAGGCTGCACATAAGGGACCCGAATAAGGCCCAAGGTTTCTTCATCAGTGTATGGGTTTTAACTTTGGTTATCCGACTTATAACCCTACGTAGAACAACCCATGAACCTCCAAGTAAACCCTGCCTATAGTGTCCAGAGTTTTTACGTGACCAGGGAGAAAATTTAAGTATAAACTGTTACTTCATAATGGGTCTTTTAAGAAAAAGTGTTTAAGACCTGGCAATCCTTTTTTGGCTAGACGTGGCTTCCTTTCTCCGTCGTCGTAACGCGACTCTTTGTGAGGTCCAGCTTGCATTCCAACCTCACTTGGTGTTTGATCAAAATTATGGGCCCCTTTTTGGTCCCGTAAACTGTAAGGTATATACTATTACACAGACCCCAAAAGGGCCCATAATTCTGATCAACCCCCGCTCGTCCATCTTCCTAGGGGAAGTGAAGGTTGACCTTGAGGGCTTTAGAAAGCCTCCGCGCTACTGGACTCAAGTCTGAACCCTAAACCCCTAAACCCCTCAACCTCAAACCCCAAACTCTGAACCCCCAAAGCCTAAACCCTGCAATACCCTTTTCTCTTCTGCCAAGCAACCGGCCCAAAGACTCGGAGACGATCGCTCCGATGTCGGGGAGGTAGGCTAGCGAGGGGCCGAGGAGCCGGTACAATCCGAGGAGACTGCCATTGCAAAGGGGCAGTATCCTGGGCTCACTCAGGGTTTAGGGTTTGGGGCTTTAGGGGTTGAGGGTTTAGGGCTTGGGGGTTTAGGGGCTTAGGGCTTAAGTAACCACCACATTGAGTGTCTGGATACGCCTTGTATTGTGGAGTCAACTTGACTTCCCGAAAACGCCCCTGAACAACTATAAACTCCAATCAACGCCTGACACTGACCTATCTAAGCCCACTCACGTCTCAAAACCTAAACCCTAAACCCTAACCCCTAAACCCTAAACCCTAAAACTGCCCGGAGTCCTGTAGACGTTCTGCTGAACCTCTTCCAGGCGTTGTGGACGAGGAGCGCCGCGCATCTTGAAGAAGCGCACGTGCAACGTGTGTAGGAATTGCCCTTGCTTCAAGGGTCTAGAGTCTAGGTTTGGGGATTCAAGGTTTAGGAGGGGTTTAGGGCTTCAGGATTTAGACTTTAAGGCTTTTCCCCTCTCGTATGGCTAGGCGGCGGCTAGACTCTGTGCCCACGAGCGAGGAAGGGGTTTATGTTGGTTTTTGTCCTCCTTTAATGGGCGATTAGGATTATAGTAGGTTTTAGCGTGTTGGGGTTTAGCGTACCTTTCGCATCTTCGACTTCCTCAAAAGAAGTCCGAACTCAAGAGGGAGACGTCCTACATGTCTTCTGAGTGTCAACAGGCTTAGGATCAAGCTGCACTTGCTACGATGTTTTCTGCTCTTTTTGCCCAGCCTCAAATCCTATACTATACATCTACTGCACCCTGAACACCCAAAGTGGAGACCCTATATGGTAGAAGCCCAAAAGTTGGAAACTCACTAGCCTCAACCCTTAAGAGTAATGTATAGGGAATCCCAGCACTATTTGGCCTTAGTCCGGTTTCCAACTTTATGGGGTTTACTGTAATGCACATATACGTACACTAAGAAAAAGCCGACGACTTCACAAAAGGCGTCCGAGGTTGAGATCTGGATCCGAGCCGACCTGGGATCCGTTGGGCGCATGCAGTCTGCACACACATATGTATATATATATATATATATATATATATATATATTATAATATATAATATATTTTGAATATCTAATATATTATATATACTATACAATTTGTATTATATAGAGTATATGCATGTACACACATATACGCATACAAACATTTGTACAGAAGTATAAAACTTTATGCATGGTTGCAGTTGCAAGGCAAGGCTTCGGGATAAGTGTTCACGAATCGTGGGACTCAGAAACCCACTAATCTTGCAGTCTGGTTTCGAACCTGGACAATACCCACCTACCCAAAGAACCCCAAAGTAACAAGTTTCCATACTATCACTCAAGGCGTTTTGACATTCACTACTAGTACGAGCGAAAACGCTACATCACCATAACGAATAGGCACATCCGACCCCACTTTGTTACGAAAGCTTGCTGACTCAAACAAGCTAGAACCGCTTTAAGATTTGAGAGCCATTAAGTTTTACATAGTCAACAGCCGACTAGAGATAAGAAGCTATCAAACCATGCGAACGAAAAGCACCATTTTGTTGTCCAACCAGCCCTAAACCCTAAACCCCTAAACCCTAAACCCTAAACCCTAAACCCTAAACTCTAAGCCCAGCCCACGAAGCCCCCTGATAAGCCGATTGGTAAATTACACACAAAGCCTCCTGAACTCTTACACCCTACTAAGCCCCAAACCCTACACCCCTAGCCTTAAACCCCAACACATGGATGACTGTCAAAATTATGGTCCCATTTTAGGTACCCTAAATATTAGGTGCCGTATTTTAATAAGGACCCAAACAGGGAGCCTAATTTTGACAACCACCCACATGAACGAGATCCAAGTCACGTCGAAGGCCTGGCCGCTCTCGGTTGCGTAGTCTTCGAGCAACTCGTCGAGAGAGACCGGCATGCCTCACCCCCGGAAGCTCCCGCAAATACTACGGTTGATGATATAAATCCTGCATGACCCATAATAAAGAATATGCCACAATTCCCATAGATTACGGTCCGTAAGGTAATGCAGGATTTGTATCATCAACCGTATGTCATGTCATGTTGTATCATGTTCTATTGTGTGGTATGATTCTGTATCATGTATTTGGCAATACTACCTTACACTGTGTCATATGATCTTGTACTGTACTGTACTAGATGATATAAACAAAATTATCTTATACAAAAGTGCCTCAACAATTGGAACCGGGTTTCTTTCAACAGCTGTCATGGAAGGGCTACCACAAGATAGGGGCTTTGCTGATTGGACTGGAGTTCATTAAGAGGGTTCCTTCGAGGATTCTATGATCTAGGGGCCTTACTACTTTCAATGGTGTTCGTCCAGGACCAAGGGTTTACGGGTAGTTGCAAAACAGCTTAGAGCTTTTTGGAGCCACCTTTTTAGGATTCAAGATAGCCTGGAGTCTTTAGTTTAGGGTTCGGGGCCGCAAGAAAAGTTTATATAAGGCGTATGGCAAGATTAGGTACTAGGACTCCAAAACGCGTCCACAGTATTCAGTAACTTAACTAGGTACCGGGGTTCAGGACAGATAGTTGTAGGTGAATGCTTTGATTTGGAGGAGAATGGAGTGGAGGGCTACGTGCACAAAGGCATCTGGCAAAGCAAGAGCCCTGGACTAGCCCTGCCTGCCAACTCAGAGGCCAGCATCGAAAAATCCTCAAGCGTGTCCGGCGACAAGTCGTTCATGGTTCTCGCAATCCTTGCTGGCAGGTTCTCACTACCTCCCACAGAGAAGGTTGACAAACCCTCCCCGCGAAACATCACACTGATGGCCGAAATGCTTTATGAAGCACTTTGTCTCCTCGCCCACCTGGCATCACCTCTGTTAGTCCCCGAGCATACTTCTGTCCGCCAAAAGAGGAACTACATTGGACAGTCCAGGCACGCCAGATCACATACCAAGACCAAGCCCTATCGGTTCCTGTATCCTAGCTCTCTCTCTCTCATATATATATATATATCTCTCTCTCTCTCTCTCTCTCTCTCTCATATATATATATATAGATATGTATGCATATTTGTCTAAGACCAAGAAATGTGTGTCGCCACAAACCCGTACCGACCCCACTCGGTCCATATACATGCCGGGGTGCTGGTTTGCCTGCTTCCCCCCAAGGCCGTATCGCTTCGCAGTCTGATGTTTGAAGGCATTCCTGAGATCTGTCTGCCAAAGAAATAGTCCCTAAGTATAGTCCCACCAACAATTTCGAAACTTCTAAACCCACGAATCTTCCTCACGGAGAGACCTCCTATAACATGACAACTATGCTTGCTCTCAAGGAAAAGCTGCAGGTTCCTGCAGTTTGAAGGGTCCAATAGTGTACAAACTTACGTTAAGTTTGCAGGTTAGGGTCTGTTTAAGGGTTTTAGGCTTTTAGGCTATCTATAAAAGCCTTCGCATGCTTAAGCCAGACAGAAAATCTCCCACGCGCCAGTTCCTCTCCGGGGCCCAGGCAAACAAAAAATACTGGAAATCCCCGAGCCCCTCCCTCCCTCCGCGCCCTCCCCTCCCTCTCCCACTCTAATGTAGGAACCTGATTAAGAAACCTTGGGTCTTTACTCGGGTTCCTTGTATGACGTCGGAGGTAGTCATAGCAAGCTACCGCCTCATCCTCTGACATGCGGTGTGGCCAATAATTTGCGTGGTCCAAGATTCCTCAAACGGTTAATGCTCTTCGCCCTGCCCAAGTGAACACCAGTCTCATCGTCGAGTCTGCGAACGGCGACGCGGATGTCAAATCCGACAGGCTCTAAAGCTTCTGCCCCGTCTTGCATCCTCGTGCTCTGGTTGGCTCAAACAGAGGGCGTATTCAGCCTCTCTACTGGCGGCTGAGGGCTTAGGGTTTGAGAGTCTGAAGACGCTTACACTTGCGGTCTTGAAGGGTTCAGGGCTTTAGGGTGCCAGGACAGGGCCCGAGGTTCAGGCAGAGACTGAAGCAAGAAAGAACTGCATAGGTAGGGTTCGAAGGCAGTAGCATTCTTCGCTTGACAGAATTGTGCGTCAGCTTTGCAGGCAGAGTATGTGTGTGTGTGTACGATTTCGACATGACGTCTGGTGAGCTGGGATCGGGAGATCTTATGCTGTGGGAACTCTGCTAAAGGGGAACTCTGGGGTGCACCACGATGGCCCGCCCAGGGCAAGCTCTACGACCCTAACCCCAAGCACATCCTACCCTGAAGCGACCGCAGCGCTTGTAGAAGTGCTCCCGCAAGAGCGCCAGAAGGCGAATGAAGACCAAGGCATCTGCCTAGGTCTACGCTCTCACAACTCGGACATGCCAGGCGAGGTTCATGGTGTGGGTCTGCGTAGGTTTACGCTCTCACACCGAGGTTTAGGGTTTATAGGGTTGTTCGTTGTGGTTCGCTTTTTGTTTCAAGAGGGCAGTCGGAAGCTTCAAAGACATATGCCATGACCGAAATGCCAAGCGGCCAAGTCGACATCCAGCGACGTGGGGTTCGAGCCTTGCAGTTCGAGGAACTGCTGCGACAGCCGTGGGAAGTCCTCGGCTTTGCAAAGGACCTGCTCCAAGGAGGTGCCTTCTTCCATAGCGTGGGTGATCTCCTGGGCTCTTGTTCAGGAAGTGAGTTTAAGTTACCATAATAGGGATCTATAGTAAATAATATGGTTTCATGGTTATATAAGTTACTTAATTTAGGGATCTGTAGTAAAGCATATGGTTTCCTTCTTATGGCGACATAAATTAAGTCCCTTCACCCCTAAACCCTTAATTATAGAACCCTTAAAGGAACCCTAAATTATAGTAACTGAACTCAAATCCCTTGACCCCTAGACCCTTATAGAACCCTTAAAAGAACCCTAAAGTATGGTAACTGAACTCAAATCCCTTAACCTATAGAACCCTTGAAGGAAGCCTAAAGTATGGTAACTTAAAGTTTAAGTCCCTTAGCCCCTAGACCCTTATAGAACCCTTAAAGACGCTCGAAGGAACCCCAAAAGTATGGTAACTTAAAGTTAAGTCCCTTAGCAAGAACCCAGTCTCATTCCGTTCCCAGACGAGGCTGCTAGCAGCACCGTCTTCACAAGCCGCAGACTCGATGTGAGCCCAGGCCAGCAGCAAACATTGCTGTCGGAAGCCCTCTGTCATGGCTTTTTGAACCCAGGCTCTATTCCGGCATCAGCCCTGTTATGGCTTGGGCCCAGAACCTGTGGCTTCGGGGAGATATAATGCCGTCACCTGCAGGAATCCCGAATAAACATTTTACCCTAACACGAGCTGTGAGACCCGGGTTGTAGCGGCATGCACCAGCTCTTGACGCTCCTGAGCATCCGAACGTGCCTCCAGCTGTAGCACTGCCGCCCATTGACCGGCTTTCCTTTCGGGGCAATCGCGTGTCTCGAACTGATGCTGCAACCACGAAAAGCACGGCACGAACCATCATGCAAAACCATCCCTGAATCCCAAATGCATTATGAAAAATCTCTAAGCCGTAATAATCCCTACCCCCACAATCGACAAAAACCTGAACCCTAAATCCCAAAAGTCCTTAAACCCCTAAGATCCCTGCAAGCCCTCAACGGTAGCTTCGTGCAGCGGAAGCTCTCGCAGCTTCCAACGCAGGCATGGTAGGCGATGTCACCGGCTTGTACCTGAGGCGGGATGTTTACCAATTCTGCACAAAGTCTTCAGGGACTGTAATTACCATGACTATGACCAAAGACTCATATGTAGGGACTCGGAATTCAACAATGAGCCTGCATGTATGATTTCTGTGCCCTGGCTCACTTCCAGGATGGTTGTGTACCTGCTCTTGCGCGATCTAGCAGATGCGGTTGCAAATCTTGTGGGGCCTCGATACAGCGAAGGGTTCGGGTGAATGCCACGAGAACTTTCTTCGATGCGGCCCTGTGGCACCTTTCGATACAGAATAGAGCCTTCAGGTCGACTTTTTGCCGAAGTTTGCGAGACATGTCAGTGCAATTTGACCAATAAAATTGAGCCCTTGGACCCTAAACACCTGCATCTCTGCGCTGTCACCCACCCAATGACTGCAAAGTGCTTGTATCGAGGAAGATTGGCAATGTGGAGCCGTTTCGGGGTGTCTTCTCGGATTCTAATGTACTAAGTCATCCGTACCAGGATCTGCATGTCAAGTTCTATACTAGTTGATGTGTCTGCAATGCATGACCTGAGTCGACGGGTTTAAAGACAAGGCCGGTAAACAGTAGACTGGGCAGGCTCTTTGAGCTCAGACTTGCCTACCTCATAGGGTGCTGAGGCCCTGATGCCTATGATATACACGCTTGACTAAGTGGACAGGCTGTCGGGGGGCCTTGGTGCTATACATATGCATCCAGCAAGAGTGGTAACAACAATACTAAATGTTATGGTCTGTAGCCTTTTCGTCTATATCTAGGTCTAGATCTCATCATATGTGCATGTGGATCTACATACCTGTATCTAAACCACCTGCGCCTACATATACATATACTTACCTTTTTGAAGTCTTGAGTTGTGTATTTGTGCATACAAGTAACAATAGCAATAGTCACCACGGTGACTAGAAAACAATGATGAACACAATGATGTGGATAATTGTGAAGACAATAGTACCAGCGATAATAATAATAATAATATCAATAATAATAATAATAAGAAGAAGAATAACAATAATAGCACGAGTAGCAATAACAATGATGGAAATGCAATACTAAATAATGATAGAAATAACAGAAATCACAATTACAATAACAACATTAATAATAATGGTAACCACAGCAATCGTAGCTATAATCCTACGTAGTGCTAATATCATGCATTTTGTCATCATCAACCCTTTGAGGAAAGGAACCTTGAACCTGCCAAAGATGTGTAGGTCAGTGCAAGGCCCACGGGAACCTAAAAATTTGCAAGCCTAAAGCACAAATCACAGCTGAACCCAGGAAGGGAGGTTCGGGGTTTAGGGTTACTGTAAGGGGCTAACTAGGCTGCTTTTAAAGTGCTATAAAACTTCTGAACCCATCACAACGGATGCGGTTTCTCCACGCCTGGGCGAGTGCCATGGAAGCTAGAAGGCTGAAGGACAACTTCCAAAGCATCGCCTGTCATTTTTTTGAATTTAGGGGCTTGTATAGGCTTTAGGGCTCAGGGATTGGGGGGTTAGAGTTTAGGGTTTAAGGTTTAGGATTGTTTTGGGTTTAGGGCTCGTGGTTTGAGGCTTCGACGAAGCGTCTCTATGAAGCCGCAAGAAAGTACCCCTCTACAACTATAAACAACGTTACAAATCCCTCTGAGCTTGGGGGTCTTTGGGGTGTTAGGTTTAGGTTTAGGATTCTATGGGTCTAAGTTGCTAGGGCTGGGGGTTTAGGATGTTGAGAGCTTAGGGATTCGGGCAGAACACTCATTTGCAACTGGGCGCCTGCACTCGTTTCACGTGGCTGGCCGTGATCGCACCGCAGAGAGACATCTAAAACGATTTTGTAATTCAGAAAAGGTTTTGAGGGGTGGGATATATTCCGCAAAAGTCCGAAAACGAGACACAAAAGTCTCAACCAAAAACCATGGGGGCTGTGAACCCTGCACCGACGGATTAGGGCTTATGGCTGTAAGGCTTTGGGCTTCAGGGGCAGGGTCCAGCCCTAATTAGTCCCATAACACTAAATTACAATATCACAGGGTTTCAGGGTTTTGGGTTTAGGGGTTTAGCGTTTAGGGCAGAATCCATTCTTGAACTGAAGATTCGAGTCATGTCCCACGAGCGCCACCTTGCTGGCAACTAGGTCGCTAAGTTCTGACATGCGCACTTTGCATGTGGCACCAGCAGGTCTTCCATGCAGGCCGTACTGACTGTAGCACCCTAAACACAATGAGCCCTAAACCCTAAGGCCTAAACAAACAAGTCCTAAACCCTGAAGCCTGGACACAGTTAACCCGAAACCCCGCACCGTCCTACCTGCACTTCAGGCTTCGGGCTTCTCAGCAATGCCACAACGTAAAAAGCCGCCACCAGCTGCCCTCTGCGACAGCACTCGATGTGTAAATGCCTGTATGACACAAACATTATGCAATGCTCGTAAGAAGGATATGATGATAATGGAAACGCCCAATTGGTAATTCGAGGAAGGTTTCGGGCTGCACAGTATCGTACAAGGATATATGAACTGCCACGGGATTACGTTACTGCTTGATGAGACACCTGCGGTATGTGCTCACACCACGTAAATCATCACTGTACGCTTCGAGGTGCTTCAGGGTTTGGAGACCGGATTGCCGAAGCTCTTGCAGAAGTCCCAAAGGCTCGGAACCTTAGCTACACCGAAATCTTCGACGTACCTAGAGACGAGATTTCAAGATCCTCGACTGAGGGGCCTCGAATTCACGAACATGGGATTCCTAGATGTCTGCCCCAACAAGGGGTATGAAGAACGATAACTATGGGGGGGGGTTCCGATTTGAGTTTGGAACCCTCTGAGAAAAGATTTATCCCCAGCATCCCTCCCTGGGGGGAGAAACTGCCTTAAGCTTGATAACGAAGGTATGAAGGCCTCTTAAGGTATCGGTTTGCTGAAAGGTGTCGCTACGTAACCCTGCTAGACTGCAAACGTAAGTTAGACTCGTCCGGACGTTGCGAACGCTTCATACAGACATTTCACACACCAGTCCCAAGCCCGCGTTTTCCCAGATCCTCCAAGATCTCTTAATTTGAGGGAATATGCCTTAAGTCATAGGGACCCGATTACAATTTAAGGTGCTGGTATCTCTGAACTCCACATCTCCGCATACAGCTTGACAGCGTGTGTTGGCTAACTGCTTGCTAGAAATCGGCCTGAACATGACATGCAGACCCACTTTGCCACAAGACCCTGACCAAAACCCCAAACCCTGATCTTCAGAAATCCCCAAATCGAACCCGAAACCTCGGCACGCTAGCCCTTTAAGACTGGAAAGCTTGTTCAACACTTGATTGTGAACAGCCGAAGACCCTAAACTCAGCCCGACAAACCATTAGTTATAGAAGCGTCAATACCCAGTAATGATACCCGCCGGGTCGAGGTAGTCCATGTTTTATGGTTGCTGGCACTCAAAATGGACCCAAGTCAATAATGGGGTGTATTTGGACCTTTGGGAATAGGGGGTGCCTTATAAACCCTAACCCCCGAACCCCTAAACCCGAAACCTCTAAACCTGAAACCCTACACCCCAAATCCTAAACCATCCTCAACCCAGAAACCCCTAAACCCTACACCATAAACCATTCTCAGCCCTCTGATGAGATCTTACACCCTCTAAAGCTTAAACCCTGAATAAGCCGTAAACCCCTACACCCATTCTCAACCCTCTGATGGGATCATAAACCCTGAGCCCGACACCCTCAAAGTCCTAAACCATCCTCAACCCTCTGATGGAATCATAAACCCTAAACCACCCTCAACCCCTAACCCATCCTCAACCCTCTGATGGGATCTTCATCAACCCTAAACCCGACACCCTTTACCCCTAAACCCCCACCGTCCTAAACACTCTGATGGGATGATAAACCCTAAACCCCTGAACCTTAAACCTTAAATAAGCCTTCAACCCCTAAACTTCCCTAAACCATCCTGAACCCTCTGATGGGATCTTCCTGCAGACTTGGCGCCGGCCTTCGCAGCGGCGTCGACGGCCGAGCTGAATCCTCTCACGTCCCGGGCGCCTTAGACTTTCGGGGTTGCTAGGGCTCCTTTCAGGGGTTCTTAGGGTTCCTTTAAGGGCTTCCTAGGGTTCCTTTAAGGGCTTCCTCGGGCTCCTTTACTTTAAGGGGTTGCTCGGGCTCCTTTAAGGGGTTCCTTGGGTTCCTTCAAGGGCTTCTTAGGGTTCCTTCAAGGACTTTCAGCGGTTCCTAGGGTTCCTTTCAGGGCTTCCTAGGGTTCCTTCAAGGGCTTCCCAGGGTTCCTAGAAGGGGTTCCTCGGGTTGCCTTAAGGGATTCCTAGGGCTCCTTTAAGGGCTTCCTAGGGTTCCTTTAAGGCTTTCCTAGGGTACCTTTAAAGGGTTCTTAGGGTTCCTTTAAGGGGTGAATTGGGTCCCTTTAAGGAATTTCTAGAACGCTTGGTTCAGGGAATTTCCAGAGGGGTTGGTTCAGAGAATTTCTAGAAGGGTTGGTTTAGGGCTTAAGGCCTTGAGCGTTCAGAGTCGTTTTAGGACTTTAGGCCCTTTAGGGTTTAGTGTTGCTTAGAGTATAGGGGGTTTCGGGACCTTAGGGTTCAGGCACTTCAGGGTTTAGGGCTTTCCTTGAATGGTCGCTGTATCATGTGGGTTCCGTACTGGTCCTATGTATACTATAGGAGTTCTATCAGGGCGTGGTGAGGCTTTGGCAGGTTCCAAAGTGTAGGGTTCTTTGGGCGTTAGGGTTTCAAATTTTGCGGTTTCGGGCATCCGAGTGAACTCGCTTCTCCGAGGCTCCCGGATTCAACCCCAGCCCCCGGTAAGGCTTTGAAGGGCAAAGATCGGGATCCTCTGCATCAGGCCTTCATCGTTTCAAAGCCGCAGCTCGCAGACCCAAAACCCTAGCCTAAACCCTAAACCCTTAAACCCTTAAACCCTAAACCCTTTTGCAACTGGACTGCTGCGACTCCGCCAGGGCGAACACTCGACCATCATCGTTTAGTGAGTAAACCCCAAAACTCTGCGAAGATTGTGGTGCACTGCACTGTTCGAGAAACGAGGGTTTTCAGCCGGCTGCAAGAACTTCATGGATCGGAACCTGGTGGGATCTACGTGCCTGCATAGGCCCCTTGCAGCCAAAACCCTATACTTTCGAAGGAAACCCAAACCCTCTGCCTGTACAGCTTAAGACGTAAACTCTGGCAACCCCAACAATTGAACCCTTTTCGAAGCCTCCGCAGCGTCTACTATACAACCCTAATCCCCCACACCCTAAACTTCCGAAATCCTGAAAGGCCTAAACACTACGAAACCTTAAACCCTGAGAGGCCCACCTGGTAGCAACTCCAAGGTTGCCCGCCACTGGCCTCGAGCGCTCCCCAGCGATTTCAGTGTCTCGTAAGGTTCTAGGATTTTGCTCTTTGCTTCTTTATGTTTCCGATTTTTCCGCAAGCCGTAGTTATGTTTTTTGTCTGAGCCTTTTCTCGATGTTTGCTTTCCGGCTCTGTGACTTTTTGTGAATATTACTAACACGGACCCGTCATTTACAAGATGTTTTCCATCATGGGAGGTACCAGGGATGTAGACGGACCGGCAGAACCTTCAACCAATGGGCCGAACCAACGTTCAGCATCCCCCTTATATACTTCTATAATGGTCGTAATTCTGATAGTAAGTAGTGATTACTTTAGTAGCAATACAATGGCAGTAATTAGAATAGTAATATAGTAGTACTAATTAATTCTAAAAGTAAGAGTAGATGTTAAGACCAATAGTTATAGAATAGGGTTATGGGGCCCATTATACAACAATTAAGGGAAAAGGAACACCAAAATAGTATAGGTGATTGTTGTAGGCCCAAATCCCACAGCCCAATGCTGAGGGTTTACGGAGCCGCTTTCTCGGCTCTGGCCTTCAGCCGCTGTCGCAGCGAGCGCAGCACGCTGTGCGATGGCACTCCTGACGACGGAAGAAAGGCCTTATACTAAGCCTGGGCCATGTAGGCACAGAGAGCCGAATGACGAGCGTGTATATCTTATCCAACATACATACATGCATGCATGCGTACATGCTTACCTGCGTAGGTACGTACATGCTTGCATACATACATGCATGCAGCCACACACTATGGAAGAGGGCAGGACAGAAAGAGACATCCTCATCAGTGTGTCTTTCTCACTCTCGCGCCCTCGCTTTTTAATTTGACTTTGCTGTCTGCGCCTCTATTTAACATGCAGGGTTTAAGTTCTCAGCTTATCATAATGCCTCAAAAGCACCTGTTTGAGCATGACATTCAGCACCAGCTCTTTCTGCCGTGCCAGCTGGCTGAGTCTTGGGGTTGCCAACTTCTCCGTGTCAGTGAAATCGTAGAACCCGAAGCCTAACCCAAAGACTCCAAAATCCCTGAATTATGGAATATCCCTTAAAACATATTAGGACCCCAATATGATTTAGGGCATATTCCATATTCCTTAACACTAGTACTTATACTTTTCAACATGGTTTCTGTTTCGGCTCACCAATACGACAACGCAATTTGTAAGTAAACCCTATCCAGAAGTGCCCCAAAGCCCATAGACTCCGAAAAAAACATCCGAAGCAAGTAGATGTTGGGTTTGTTGAAGCTGCAGGATTAAAGCTTTCGTTGGGTTTAGGGTAGTTTATGCCTTTGAGGGTGTACGGTCTGGGGCTTAAGGCTTAGGGTTTATTGCGAAATGGCGGCATTCGATATTTGGCCCTACTTGGGTTTCGGATGCAGGGTGTGTAAGGTCTGGTTCGACCTGTTGCAGGGTTTGGTCTGTAGGGCTTTGGCTTCTATGCCTTAGCCTGTACCTCGGTGTATGCCCAGACAAGCTTTTCCTGGGCAAAGCTGATGCTCCGAGAGGGTCATGTGGCAAGCGCCTTAATAACGGGAATCGGCGTGCAGTGTACTCTAAGCCCAACGAGAAACCCTACTGTAAGGATTAGTGTAGGTAATGTTTTGAGGCTTCGGGAATAGTTGGACCCATGTCCGAACCAAAGGAGTGAACAATAATCAGGGAGTAGTTTTTCTTAGAGAAGGATGGCTAGAGCTTAGAGGGTCTCCAAGAACATGGTTTGGGGCATAGTTTCTTGCTGCAGCTTTTTGGATGAGTTGATGGTTGCAAATTCTCTTTGCGGCGTCAGGGCTCACACCCTAAACCCGACACCCTACATAAACCCTAAACCGCTCTACAGTAGAAGCCCCAAAAGTTGGAGACCCAGTGGCCTCAATCCTTAAGACTAAGAGTCAGAGTAATATGTGTATATATATACATATGTATATATGTATATACATGTATGCAGTCCCAGCACGAATTGTCGTGAATCCGGCTGACAACTTCTTGGGCCATACTGTAAAGTTTCCGGGAGTTCGTGGCCGCACAGCTCCTGCGAACGTGGGCCGCTGCTGCCGCCATGAGCCTGAAGACGATCTTTGAGATCCGATGGCTCGTTACAGGTCAAGGGTTCTCAGAGCTCCAATGCCGTTACCCCTTAATTACGGAATATACCGAAAATCACAGGATCCTACTGTAATGTAAGGTATATTCCTCGATAAATTAGTCTCTGGGTTCTTTAAAGGATTCCAGGATTCCTAAATATAAAGGGTTGTGTGCTCAATAATTTGACGAGCCCTCAGATTTTTAAGCTTCAATCCCTACAGCGCTAAAAGCTGACCTAAACTTGAAAGTTGCAAACCCTAAAATCCTGGAACCCGAGGACCTATAAGCCTCACAAAGGGCCCCTTTACGAAACTCTACTTGTTGAAATCCGATGCTCTGCATGAAATTTTAACAAAAATACTCAGAAGTCTTGGGGCAAATGAATCCTCAGTCGTTAAGGATAAGACCTGGGATGCTATTCTCCTGAATCTGAAAGTTCACAGAAGAATCCCTAAAAGCCAGAAAACTTACAACTCAAAATCTTCGGGTTGAGGAGGCATTCCACTGGCCTTCGGATCGTTCAGGGCTTCTAGGCATAGGGCGTTCGGCGTCTGTCGGGTTGGAGTCTTCGCAAAGATAGGATGCTGAAGACACATACCCCAAGCCCTACTTGGAGGTTCATGGGTAGTTATACGTGGGGTTACATGTCCCCTGATATGGGTTATAAGTATAGTTACCCTACTTATAATCCCTACTTGTAACTACCCATGAACCTCCAAGTACTGGAACAACCAATATATGTTGTGCACTTGTTTTGTTGCGCACGCAGGAATGAGCTAGTACCGACAGGCTTTCGGGTGATGCTGGGGCTGGTAGGATCGAACGATAATATCGCACTTCATCTACACATCTCAGCATCTAAAGCACAGTATAGCATCTTCCCCAACACCCTGTGCCTGTGTCGGGCAAACGTGATCCACGAATATGTGTCTCTTTCTGTAAGACATATGAATATGCGTATATATGTACATGCATTGGTGCATGTATGCCTGTGCGTACGTAGGCAAGTAGGCATGTATGCATGCATGCATGCATTCATGTGTACATCTGTGAGTAGTAATGTGCGTTTGCTTTATGAGGTCATGTACCCGTGCATGCTTGTGAAATGTAGGTCCATATACACACGTGCAGTTCTAACCACCTCATACGTAGACACTGCAACGCCAGACTATTCCAAAAGCCCTACGGCCGAAAGCCCACATCCCAAAGCCCGAAACCGTTGCATGCAAACCGTGAACCCGAAGATCTTGGAGTGTCCGAACACCGAACACAGGAGCCATGATCAAGAGTCATAAGTTTAGACCCCTATGGACCTATGGATTACGAGGACCCCCAAAAAGAGACAGTGGAGCCGACCCTAGGAGGATCCTGTTATGGCCAAAAAACCCTGATGAAGCCCTGAGAAACCCTGTACACAACTGCTGCAACGTAACCCTATGGGTTCCTTCGTCGAAGCAAAGAGGGAGACTGGTAAACATGGGGGGGGGCGATGGCTTCGAGTCACGAGAACCTTATAAAGACCTTTCAAGACTCAAAAATGAGGTACCCTTACCCCGAATCCCAGAAGGACCCTGAGTAAGGTACACTTCTAAATTTCTAAACCCGAAGCCATACTCTGCCCCCTATAAGGAGCACTTGTTCTACGGTGCCCTGAGTGCCCCTCAGCTTTCGGAATCCGAACATCGCGGCCCAGACGCAAGGCAATGGCAGTGGCCCACGGTCCCAGAGCCGAACCAAAGGAGACGATCGACCTGCCATGTTATTAGGGCTTCAGCACTTACACTCGGACGAACCTTGGCGAGCATCCCAGTCACGACAAAAGCACATTGGCCCATCCCAGCCTGCTAGCCCGGTTGACGTTAACACTACCACTGGTATGAGGGTTTAGGGGTTTTGGCTTTAGGGTTTGGGACGGTTGGGCGCTGACGCTCTCGCAACTCGGGCGCAGCCAGACGAGGTCTCTTGGTCAATGCTAAAATACAACTGCAGATCAGGTCTTCGTCACGGATTTGGGGTTTAGGGTATTGAGTTTAGGGCCGGGATGCTAAGGGTTTTGGGTTTAGTGTACCTTAACCTCAGTGTTTATCCTGAAAGGAGCTTTAGAAGAGTGTAGACGGGCTTAAAGATCGGGCTGTGCAAACCACGCGCACGAAACCCCCAAAACCCTATAACAGTCTCGGGAGCCGAGACTGCTTAATATAGTGGCCCTCATAATTAGAATAGGGTTTTGGGGCCCCTGATACTAAAATTTTAATAAGGAACCCCCCAGACTAGTATAGGGAGCTACTAAGGCCCCTGTAGTATTACCCAAACGCTGGGGGCCTTCATACATAGACAAGGGTCTTGGGGTGTGCTAGAGCCCGAACAACAAGAATTTTCAAGTTCTCAAGCCACATTATCACGTGAAGACTGCAGAGAATTGAAGTGAGCGCCAGCAGCATTGACAGCACGCGACGCAGCTGCGTCGGAAGAGTTACTAACAGTAGCAGTACAAAATACCCCGAACTCCCAGGCTGAGGCTCCTTGATTCAACACAACGAAGCCACGAAGCCACGGCTGTTCCTCCCGCATCTCCCGGCCTTTGCAAACCGAGCTCCTGGTAATCCTTGAGCATGCTCCGCGCTCGGCGCCAGTCACCCTGGACCATACTGGGGCCTTTTTCTGCTATTGTTTGTTGAGGGTCCCTGTTCCTCGCAGCAGATCTATAGTTCGGAAAGCCGCATAGAGTTTGGGGTTTGGAGGGCGGGAGGTTTGGGGATGAAGGTGCGTAGAGTTTGAAGCTACGTAGGATTTGAGCTTAAAGGGATGGCCCCAGATCCAGCCAGTAGCCCTTGCTGCCCTTGCTGGCTCCCGATACCGACCTAGGCAGTCGTAGACTTGCCGCCGTGCAGGGCCTCGAATGAAAATCAGCCTTCGCCGGCATCTTCGTTGTGGTGGTTGTATGGGAGTTTCCGGTCCTTTAATATAAGGATCCTACATTTTGGGGTGCTATATTACGGCCCCCTTTTTGCGGAACTTCCCGTGTGGTTGTGCTTGCGGCCGCAGCAGCAGCGGAAGTAGAAGAAGCAAGAAGGAGAAGCAGAAGGAGCCTTCCTTTGGTGCAGATAGTAACAAGCCAGTCGACATAGCCCACGACATCCGGGCACACAAGTAAGGAACTTTAACAACACCACGAACAGTCAAGGAGGGATTGTAACACATCGCAATCAGGACATGCTCCAGTAAAAGCACCTGCAGGTGAACTCTGGCACGCCCACAGCACCTGCTCCTCTTCTGCGGCAGCGCTCGACACCGAGTTGAGGCTGATCCTCAAGGCGGAGCAGTACCGACAGTGGTAACTGTGAAAGCCATGATCAGAAGAATGACGACAGCTTCACAACTCAGACTAATGACAATAGACACTGCAGCATCCCCAAAGCCCAATATAAACCCATAAATGACAATAAACTCCGAAACGTCATAAACTCCTAAAGCCCGAAGCCCTGAACCGTTTCGGGTGCATGGGCGCGAGACGTGCCGAAGGGTTTACACGGTGCAGGGTGGGTGATGGTTTAGAGTTTAGAGTCGACCTGAACCCTGAAGCACTGGCAATCCAGGTTTAGGGCTCTGCAGGCCGTCTAAACCCTAAACCCTCTCTCTCTCTCTCCCAGGATCCCTGAACCCTTAAACCCTAAACCCTAAACCCTTAAACCCTTAAACCCTAAACCCTAAGCCCTAAATCCTTAAACCCCAGACCCTAAAACCCTAAACCCTTGAACCCTTAACCCTTGGGCCGGTTTGATTTCAGGATCCATGTCCTCTTGGAGGTTGATGGGTAGTTATAAGGTTTCCTTTCAGGGTCCTTCAAAGGGCTCTATCGGGATTTAGTTTTTTTTGTTTTTAACCCTCGTGTCTTTTAAAGGGATTTAGGGTTTAGGGATTAGGGTTTAGGGTAGTTATAATTCCCTTATATAGTATAGTTTCCCTACTTATAATCCTGCTTCTAACTACCGATGAACCTCCAAGCTTTTGAATATTGTTCATCCCGAGACATCTCTCTAATTACTTCCTTCGGCAGCCTTAACCTTAAATTCTCATTTAAGCCCTGGTAAGGAGCTAACCTTATCCCAGCGAATCCAATGGTGAAGCCGAGCCCCTCAAAATCCTAACTATCCTAAGTCCTACCTTATCCCTCAATAACCCACCTGCTCTTAGTTATAGACTTACACACGGAAGCCAATCATAAGGGAATCACAGAAACCCGGGATTCAAAACGATGCGCTGCTCCCGAAAAGAACACATTAGTCAGGTGACGCGTCGCAGCGCATATCATCGCTGCTTGCCGTGCTCAAAGCTGCGAGAGCCGACGCCCAAGCGGCCGCGCTGACAGTCAGGGCTTGATGCGCTTTAGCTGCGCAGGGTTGGGTAGGGCTGTCATGCATGTGTATGTGTCTGTATGTACGTTTATCTGAAAACATATCTGATACCATTACGACTAACCAGATATAGAGTTACACAGATAGGACAACGAAGATCTCACACAAAGGCCATGAATCCCTGGCAAGTGCGGAGCTGTTTTCCAACTGCTTCCGCTTCGGTGGCGTTATGTCTGCGTTTTGATCTTACAGATCGCGGTCGATCTTACAGATCGCAGTCATCGATCTTACAGATCGATGTGACAAAGTTCTTTCTGTTGGGAGGACCGACTGGTTCCCAGGCGGTACTCGCAGACAGGAAGCAGAGGAAATATATCGTAGTCAAAAGAGGGTCGGGACGGGTGGGTGAAACAAAATTTCTCAAGCTGGAACAGCTTTTCGCCAAAATGGCCACGGAGTGTACAATCATTCGAATTGAATCGGTGAGTCTATCCCCTGACCGATTCGGTGATCAAGTGAGATAATATGTTGTCACTTCGCACAAACAAGTGTGTGCTACACGACAACGAAGATCTCACACAAAGGCCATGAATCCCTGGCAAATGCGGAGCTGTTTTCCAACTGCTTCCGCTTCGGTGGCGTTATGTCTGCGTTTTGATCTTACAGATCGCGGTCGATCTTACAGATCGCAGTCATCGATCTTACAGATCGATGTGACAAAGTTCTTTCTGTTGGGAGGACCGACTGGTTCCCATCGGTGGTGGTCGCGTCCTCCCATCGCAGGCGAACGCCACTCGAAAGATAAATCAAACGAGCATCGCAGTCAACTGATCGTGCAATCTGCGAATTTCGGGTAGGTCGGAAAAACCCGTAGAGGAAGCAAAATGAATGTCTCCTATAATCTTCGCAGCCCTACTGGTCAAAGCGTGCAAAGGTAAGTCGAGTTTAGTCCATGTTACAGACTCTGGCACGTGCTCGAAGCGGCTGATCCCGTCGGAGATGTTGGCTTTGGTGGGAACACGTTCGAGTCGGTGTGCAAGACTTCGTCGATTATGCCAAGTCCAGTGTGCCGCGATGAGGCAATTCAGGGGCTGGTGTTTACCGACGCCTTTGAGTAGGGCGTGTCGAGAAGCCTCGTTGTCGCAGCACTGGACGTAGAACTTGTCGAGCCATGGCTCGAAGACCAGTGGAGCTAAAATGGCGACCCAAGCTTCGAGGAGGTAAATGAAAGCCTGGTCGGAGGAAAACTGTCGTACTAGTAGTGAGGGGAGACGACCCTGGAAGTAAGCTGCCATTTGCACATCACCGTGGTGGAAGCAAACTGCAGCCCATCCGTTCTCGATGTCGGATGTCGACTTCGAGTCCCAATTCGGGATGTCGTCGTCCCCCGGTCTGTAGGTGTGGTCGCCCAGGCGGAAGTAGGCATCCGTGTAGATGACGCTGTATGTAGTTCGAGTCATCTGTCGTGGTATTGTCATTGGGCGACAATGTTGTATGATGTCCTTGAGTGAAAGTAGTGACGATCGGGTAGGTTTGTCGAGAGCGTGTGAGTACGAATGGGCGCGGGCATATAATGCTTTCAGGGCTGCGCGGCCTACCTTACCGAAGAGTCGGCCTGTGAGGAAGTTGCACTTCCCCGCCATTTTCTTGGCTTGTTCGGGTGACAATGACGAGGTCTCCAGGTGCGCGTCGATCTGCTTACACATGTTCTCGACGCGTTTGGGACACGGAGTCAACACCAAGTTGTCGTTGTCGGAGGAGATGATGACACCTTGGATCCGATGTGCGGTTTGAGGTGGTTGTCTCTTGCTGGGTTTCATCGAGATTTGGAGACAACCATTGTACTCCTCGAAGGATTCGAAGCTGCCGTCGGCAAGATCGGAGTCTTCCATGGATCCATAGTCGTCGACGTAGTGCATCGCTGGTGACAGGATCATCGTGCGACTGCACGCGACGAGAATGTCCCCAAAACGGTTATACGACCAGACACTGGCTGCCGAACCAAAGAGCAGGACGTTGTGGCTCCACAGTGTCGGGCCGTCTGGTGTCAGGAGCATCACGTATGCTTCGCGAGGATCTCGTAGTGGAAGTTGTCGATAAGCTCCATCGTGGTCGTGTCCCCAGACTGAGAGGGGTTTAAGCCGATCCTGTCGGATTGTCGCGAGTCCCAGGGATATGAAGTGATCGGGTGTGTGATGGTATGGTTGGTCGTGCATCGTGCACGTCGCGTTGTGTCCACTTCGTCGCCAATCTTCTCCTCGTCGAACTTTGTTGTTGCCGTCGCTGCCCGTCTGTTCAATGCTGAAAGCCATGGCAATGTACGGGTCGGAGTGAGGCAATGGTAGTAATTTTCGGTGTCGTCCCTTGGTCGGGACTATCGCCGTCCGGGGCCACCAATCCGGTGCCTCGAACGGTCCATTCATTCGTCCGAGGTCGACCTCCGCTAAGATTTCGTCGAGCATGAGTTCCCAGTGATCATCAACGGAGTTTTTGTCGATCTTCTCTTTGATGTACTGTCGGTTGTTGTCGCGAAACTCTTCAATGGGAGTGGGCTCGAGGTATTTCTTGTCTTGCCGCACGTGCCAGTTGATGCCTGGAGTCAAGTTCCCCATAAGGGGGAAGCCTTCGGAGAGCTCGCGGTAGATCAGCTCGGTCTGTGGGTATTGTATCATTCGAAGAAGGTGGACGAGGACAGGTATTTGTGTTACCGAGTGCTTGTGACGATATGCTCGTTGTACATGTTCTGGAAGAGTGTTGAACCAGGCCATCGTGTGTTCTTCCATGTCTTCGACGAGTTCACGAATGTCTGCGATGACGGCCTTCTGGAAGTCCAGGAGTGGGTGGAAAATATGTCGGTATTGCAGACACCACTCAAGTGTGGGGTCGAGTCTCTTGGGTGATAGGTGTGTGTCTCTGTGTAGTGCCCATTCGAGGTGATCCGTCCAGGAGAACTGTGGCATGTAGTCGTGATTCGGTGTTCGGGGTGGTGGGCCAAAGGGTACCTTAGACTGCAACCAAAAGGAAGTGATCTGTTGTAATGGGGACACTCGAGGTGTCTCCGGGATGGATGCATCAACAGTCCCTAGTAGAAGCAGGAAGATGATCCAAATCGCTGCAGGTAGGTGCCACGCGTTGCCCAGAGCAGTGCAACGTTTCGTCTCATCGCCATTTCCGAGTGTCGTCGTATAGTCCAGTGGTAAGCCTTGTAGTTGTTCGCGCAAAGATGAAGGAGCCGTCGTCCAAGATCCGTCCGGCAGAGTGACGATGAATTGTTCTTCATACTGCCAAACCGGGTAACGTCGTTGGTCTTGTTCCCATCGATTCCATGCATCTTGTGAAGTCGCGCGATCTCGGAGTTGTCTCGGAGGTTCTCGTCCGAACGTCGACGTGGATGGTGTGGTCAGGCAGTGAAACAGTTTCTTGTCGTTGTGTAGACACGGTGGTAAGGAGAAACCTTTTGCAGAAATCTGGGGTTGTAAGTCGATGCCAATCGGGTTGTGTAGTCGATGCCATTCTCCATCTGTTTGCCATTCAAGGGACCAGGGTGTGAGCCGAGGTAGTCTCTCTTCGACGGTGTCCCATGGGATCGATGTCCACCACAGTCTCTTGCGGTGCATAACTCCGGAATCTGCGGCGTCGATGATGATCGGGTCCATGCTCATCGGAGATGTGAGTTCCACGACGTTGTCTCGTACATCGGGGTGAGGTACAACATTTTCGAAGATCGTTTCGATCGGGACGCCCGTGAATCGTTGTCGAATTTGATGTTCGATGCTGACCATGTGTCTGAACAGCCATCCTGAGGTGCCGTCGGATCCTTTGGGTTGGCTTCGTAGGCCGGAGAAATCCGGGCACGGAGGACCTGCCGTAATCACCATGATGTACTTTCGGTTGTTCGTTGCATCCTCGATGTGTCTCGCGACAATCTCGATGTCGAACTGTCCGACATCGCCCAGGTGTACGGCTTGGAATACTTTCGATGTGAAGCTAGCACAATCGGCGTCGATCTCCCACGCCAGGGTTAGGATGACGTTCTCGTTGATGCGTCGGAGTGCTTCGGAGGCGATCCCGATACCATCGAAGAAGGACAGGTGGACTACTGGCAAGGCGCCCACCAGCTCGTGGCAAAGTGTGCAAATCCTGTCGTGTGGGTCTGTCATTCGATGGTCGGCTCCAGAGCCCCTTGACTCTGGGCCGTGCTGTCCCTATTTCTTCCCAGACTTGCCGGCTTTGCCTTTCTTGCCGGCGCCTTTCGTGCCTTTCTCTCCCTTCGCGTTCCAGGGGGGTCGTTGTGATACTTGTGGAGCAGGGTTGAAGGGAATGGTCGGGGCGGGTGTCGGTGTATTAAAGGTGGATGGTGTTGATGGGTTCCAGGAAGGCATCGATGTGGTCGGCCAGGTAGGAATAGAAGGTGGGCTCCATGGTTGTGTCGTCGGTTGCCAGGATCGCCACTGGGTAGTCGTAGTGTTCCAGGATTGTCGGTATCGACGTCCTTGTCCAGGCGGGGACCATTTCTGTTGGTATCCTTTGCCCTTGCCTTTGAAGGGTTGTTCGGAGCCTTTGCCGACTCGTGGTCGCTTGGATAATGGTTGTTGCATCACATCGTTCACTCGTGTCAGATCGTTCATGAGGTCTTCGGTGATCATCTGGAAGGTCTCGTTGGATCGCATCCGCATGGCGATATCCCAGGAGAACTCCTCCCAAAGGCTCTTGACGTTGTTAATGCGTTGTGAATGTTTGCGGACCAGTCGGATGAACCAGTCGACGTACTTATTGATAATCGTCTCGGAGGAATACTTAATGAGTATCCAGGCCCATCGGATTGCTTCGATGGCATCGATGAGCATCCACTGTCCCCTCACGTCCCACTCTTCGTTGGCCTTCTCGGTGATGTTATTGCGTTCATCGAGTACCAACTTCTTGTCGTTGGTGTCCTTCTTCCTAGTGGAGTTGATCGTATTGAAGCTCGTCCAAATGCGTTGTGACACGATCTCCCCCCAAGGCTGT